GGCAGGGGCAGAGTCCTGCCTGCTCTCCCGCCCCCCCACACACCTAGAAGCCAGGCCTGCTATGCAGTCTTTCCCAGCTCCCACTGCTGAGAGTCAGCTGCCTTGCACAGGGGGAAAAGGGTTGCTGAGCCGGCGGTCTTCCTATTCCCTCCCCCGTGTGAGGCTGCCAATTCCCAGCCCATATGGGCTGGGAGCCAGCAGTCCTGGGGGGCTGGAGCAGCTGAAGGCAGAGGGCTGCTCCCAATTAACAGTTAACCGTTACCCAGACAGCATCCCCTGTTAAGGGTGATGCTGACTGGGTAACTGGTTACACGTTCACATCCCTAATATATACTATGACTGTCAAGCAACTAAAAAATTAATCACACTGTTAAACAATAATAAATGATATTCTATTTTAAATATGTTTGGATGTTTTCTACATTTTCAATTTGATTTCAGTTACAACAGTAAAGAGTGTACAGTGCTCATTTTATATTTTTTATTTTTATTACAAATATTTGCACTGTAAAAATTGCATTTTTCAGTTCACCTCAGACAAGTACTGTAATGCAATCTTTATATCATGAAAGTTGAACTTACAAATGTAGAATTATGTACAAAAAATAACTGCATTTCAAAGTAAAACACTGTAAAACTTGAGCTTATAAGTCCATTCAGTACTTTGTCTTGTTCAGCCAATCACTCAAGCAAACAAGTTTGGTTACAATTTGCAGATAATGCTGTCTGCTTCTTGTTTCCAGTGTAACATGAAAGTAAGAACAGGCATTTGCATGGCACTGTTGTAGCTGGCATTGCAAGATATTTGTGATAGATGTGCAAAAGATTCATATGTTCCTTCATGCTTCAACCACCATTCCAGAGAACATGTGTGTCTGCTGCTGTTGCTGGATTCTGCTTGTTAACAATCGAAAGCAGTATGGACTGATGCATGTTCATTTTCATCATCTGAATCAAATGCCATCAGCAGAAAGTTGATTTTGTTTTTTGATGGTTTGGGTTCTATAGTTTCTGCATCACTGTGTTGCTCTCTTAAGACTTCTGAAAGCATGCTCCATACCTCCTCTTCCCAGATTTTTGCCAGTACTTCAGATTCTTAAACCTTGGGTTGAGCGTTATAGCTGTTTTTTGGAATCTTACGTTGGTACCACCTTTGCATTTCGTCAAATCTCTGGTGAAAGCATTCTTAAATCAAACATCAGCTGGGTCATCATCCAAAACTGCTACAATATGAGATATATGGCAGAATGCAGGTAAAACAGATCTGCATTTAGTCACAAATTTAATTAACACATGGTTTTTTAAATGAGCGTCATCAATATGGAAGCACGTCCTCTGGAATGGTGGCTGAATAATGAAGGGGCATATGTTTGTTTAACATAACTGGCACGTAAATACCTTGCAATTCCGATCATAGAAGTGCCATGCAACCAACCACATCTTTTCACTTTCTGATGACACTGTAAATAAAAATTAGGCAGCAGTATTGCCCATCAGGCTGCACTTATTTGTCTTAGCAATTGGCAGAACAAGAATTAGGACTGAGTGGACTTGTAGGTGCTAAAGTTTTACATTATTTTGCTTTTGAGTGCAGTTACGTAACCAGAAAAGTTACATTTGTAAGATACACTTTTTACGGTAAAGAGATTACATTGCAATACTTGTATGAGGTGAACTGAAAAATACTGTTTCCTTTATCATTTTTACAGTGCATATATTTGTAGTCAAAAGTAATAATATCAAGAGAACATTGTATACTTTCTATTCAGTGTTGTAATTGAAATAATGAAAATGTAGAAAAATACCAACATTTTTAAACATTTCTATTGGTATTGTTTATCAGTGTGATTCATCACAATTAATTTGAATTACAATTAATTTTTTGAGTTAATTATGTGAGTTCACTGTGATTGAGACATCCCTAATGTGTACATTTCAGAATGACATCAATCACTAGTGTGTCACAGGCTGTCAGAAAAGACCTTACTCAGTATGCTTTTATATAATATAGCTCTTTTGTATATAATCAGGTAATCAATTCCCTATCATAAGGCTTAGATCCCCTCTTTATATATCAGGAAACCTTTGAAATTTATATTCAGTTAAAGTTCCTTTTCTCCTGATGGGAAGAGACAGCAGTGGTCTGATGAAGACTTAAAGTAGGTTCCTTCCCATGTTAGGTTGTTGGCTTTGTTTACCTTTTATGTAAATACATCTCCAGTGATTCTCAATTTACCTTCAAGACGTGTTCAGACAGGGAGAACCACATTCCTTTGTCTAGTGTGGGGTACTTTATGCCCTCCCTGCCCTTCATTTTGAGAACGTCAGCCTAACCCTAACATAGTTTTGCCTATGTCATCATTCATACACTACAAAATAACATTAATGGTCAGTGAGTTGTGTTTTCCAATGGTACATTATATGTCACCTTTTAATGACAACCGTGTTAGATGTACTGCGTATATCAGGCCTAAGAATTGATGACACAGAGTAGTGAACCATTATTGGGCTTCTGGGTCACAAGTATAAAACCCTGGTTATAAGTAGAAAACTAATCCAACATATCACATGCATTTTTTTAGGTTGGCTGTAGATACCCAAGTTGGGGATGAAGGCGAACTTTTACTATTAGCCATTGATGAGAGTCAGAACCAGGGTAAAGCATATGAATAATCTCTTGTGAAGAATCACTGAAGGGAGATGTCTCAGAGGGGTAGCTCTACTAGTCTGTAACTTTAAAAAAAAAAAAAAAAGTCCTGTAGCATATTAGAGACTAACATATATAGTATCATGACCTTTCATGGGCAAAACCCACTTCCTCAGATGAGAAGTGAGATGGATATGTGTGTGAGAGAGGATCAAAAGAATGATTCTGTAATCTTGCATTGCTTTTAAGTTAGAAGGGAGCTGATAACTGAATTGACATTTAATGTAACTGGTATGTATATTTAAAGTTGTATCTCTTAAATGTTATTTCTAATACAATCAGGCTATAGACAGTTTATCTGTCAAATCTGATTTTATCAGTCAACATCCAGTACACTGTTCAGCAAATAATGCATAAACAGATTATTGTAAATCAAGCTTTCAGGTCAAAGGTATGATATGGGGCATCAGAATTTAATGCAGTAATATTGTTTATACAATAATCATCTGGCTCTACTTACAGTGTCTTGCATTGATGCAACTTTTGACACTGCAGCTTTTGATGTTGCCTTCCTGTATCTGGTTATTGATTGATGAATCTCCGTACTGTATTAATGCAAGCCTCCATGAATGATTAAACAAATATCCACCAACTTACACATTGTAGACAAACAGTGCTTTTTGCAACAAGTTGCCTAAGGAAGTCGAGAACCTTTTTAGTCTGCTATATTGTATATTGACCTGTCACTTGTTGGTTCAGACCAGTGAAAGGAATTATATTCTCTTGCCTTCACTTCTGCTGCTGCCCCCACAAGCACCAGTATGGCTACAGACACTTTTTTTGCATAAATTAGCAATTGTCTCAATCAAAGAGGCAGAGAGAAACTAGACTTCATGCTTAATCTAACTGAGATTTAAAAATGCAAAACCAGAAGCCCACAGAGTTTCTAACAAATAATGACTACTATCCAGAAATGTATATATGCATGCTCCTTTTTTTCATTTTTATAATACAGGCAGTAATTCGTAAAACTTCTCAAACTGAAAGACAGCTAAAGAAAGAAACATGAAAACTTTTGATGCATTTTTTTTCTCTCTAAAGTTTTATTTTAGGTACTTGTTCTATATTCTGTACCTATCCTATTAAGTATTTTATCTTGCCTTACATATAGTAGTGGAAGATGGAGAACAGGTTTGATAATCCTGTTTCTTCAAAAATACCCAAATCTGTTGTACTACAAACACATCTTTGTCTCTGAATATATCTTTCATTACTTCAAAGGTTGTGATTCTAGTAATTTATTCTACCTTTAATCACAGTGAAAAGGGAGTAAGGATGGATTGTACAAAATAACAGAAAAAAGCAATACAGTAATTCCTCAGTTAACACGGTACAGTAAAACTCTATTCAATGCTCCGGGACTCCTGATGGTCCGGCACCATCAGGAACCCGGAAGTGCTGGGGCAGCCAGACAGGCTTCCCCCATTCAGCTGCTGCTGAAACTGTCCAGCAGCTGAATCGGGGAAGCCGGGAGCAGAACAGCTAGGGTGCTGATGGGTTGGTCTGGTAGCGCTGCCCCTCGGGGCTGCGGGACCAACCCGGCAGCACCCCAGCTGCTCTTGGGGACGCCTGGGGCAGAGCAGCGGGGGGGGTGGCGTTTCTGCTGTCTCTTTTGATAGCCTATTTTAATGAGAGAAATTTAGATGGTACCCTTTCTGCTTGTGCCTTGAATACGTTCCAATTTTCACAGTAGAATTTCCTGAGCCGTAATTAAACCCAATTATCTTTCTTCTACTCCCTATTTACTGAAAGTCTGTATACTAGCAGGAGTGTGTCTCAGGATTCCTTCCTGAGAATTCACACAAGAAAAGATAAACCTTACCCAACAGAGAAGCCAAGATTTTTTTTTAATTTTATGTTTTTTAGAGACATAGTGGGTAAGGCAATATCTTTTACTGGACAACTTCAGTTAGTGAAAGAGACAAGTTTTTTAGTTGCACAGAGTTCTTCTTGAGGTCTGGGAAAGATACTAAGGCCAGGCCTGCACTAAGAAATTGGTAAAAATTCACATACTGTACATAGGTTGCTCAAGGGTGTGAAAAAGCCACACCCTTGAGCAATTCAGCTACACACCTAACCCTTTTCCCCTTCCGCCCATTCATCCCTCCCCCCTGCAAGATAGCACCAAATCAATGGGAGAATTATCCCCATGGATACAGTAATTTCTCATTTAACAAGGTAGATGCGTTTCAGAAAATGATCATGTTAAGTGAAAACATGTTATGCGGGGTCAATTTTCCTATTGAAAATAATGGAAAAGGTGGGGGTTGTGTTTCAAGTGGTGGTGTCGAAGTCAATTTTCTGTTGGTGCTGAGTCATCAACGTCAATGTTAGACAATGTATATGGAACAGGGCTATCTTGTTCATCAGATAATCTTTTTTTAGGTTGAACATGAAAAAAACTTTTGATAGAAAGCTGATTTGCTGCTTTTGTTTTTCATTGTAAAGTTGCTGGTAGCAAGATATAGCACTTTCTAAGCTTTTTGCTACTTTGGAGCTCCGTTCGCGATCAGGATCATTCTCATCAAAAATGTTTATTGCATCACTTATAAGCTTAAATGCTTCAGCCATAACTTTCATTGATAATGTTCGAATAACTGGCTCAGTATATTCAGGCTCATTTTCCAGCCGCTGCTCATCCAGAAGCTTTAACTCCTCGATAGACAACTCCTCCCCATGAGAGTGGAGCAACTCTTGCACATCATTAGCATCCACCTCCTCTAATCCTGCTTCATGGGCTAGGGCTACAATCTGCTTTTTAGCTTCAGCTATTTCAGTGTCAAACTCCCTAAACTCGTGAACACATGCAGGCCATATACGGCGCCAAACTGCGTTAAGGCAACTCGATGAAACTTCTGCCCAAGCCTCTGCTATAATATCTATAGCATCTTTAATGTTAAATTTTCTCCAGAATTCCTTGATTGTAGGCTTATTCTCCCCATCTGTCTCTCTTATAAGCCTAGCAAACATACGGCGCAAGTAATACGCCTTGAAAGCAGCTATTACTCCTTGATCAAGAGGTTGAATTAATGGGGTTGTATTGGGGGGTAAAAATAACACACGAATGTTTTCTGACAGATCAGTAAGGCAAGGAGGATGCCCTGGTGCATTATCTAGAAGTAGTAAAATTTTGAAAGCAAGATCTTCTTGCAAACAGTAGTCTTTCAACTCAGCAGTTAGGCGATTGCAAAGGTAGTCTGTGAAGATGCTTACAGTTACCCATACTGTCACATTAGATCTCCAAAAACCAGGAAGATGATCCTTTGAATAGCTAGCTAAAGCTCTAGGGTTGGCGGAACAATGAACTACTATCAGCTTGAGCTTGCAATCCCCATTGGCATTGGTGCATAGCATCACAGTGATATGATCCTTTGCAGCCTTAAAACTAGGTGCATAAGCCTCATCATGAGAGAGATATGTGCGTGCTGGCATGCGCTTCCAGAAGAGTCCTGTTTTGTCCAGGTTAAACACCTGTTTAGATGAATAGCCACCTTCCTTTATAATAGCTTCAAATATCGCTGGGAATGATTCAGCAGCCTCCATGTCAGCAGCAGCAGCCCCTCCAGTTATTTTTATATTATGTAAGTTTGAACGCTTTTTAAAGCGTTCGAACCAACCATGACTTGCATTAAATGGCTTGGCATCAGTTTCATTCAATTCTATTTTAACGGCATCATATAAAGCTTTGGCTTTCTCCTGAATAACAGCCAAACTCATTGGCATCTTTCGTTGTGTTTGGTCTTCAATCCACATAGACAATAGCCTCTCCATATTTTCCATTAGGTTAGATCGCGTACGAACAACTTTCTTCACGCTTACTGGTGTTGCATTTTTACAACTTTCCTTAATTTTCTCAGCTTGGGCACGGATTGTGCGCACACTAGACTCATGCATATTCAAAGTGCGGGAGATGTCACAATTGCGTTCACCTTTTTCAATTCGCTTAATCACCTCAAGTTTCTCTTCTAATGTAAACGATTTTCTATGCTTCTTGCTTGCAGAAGCAGATGTATCACTTTCCTTACGCTTTCCACTCATGATAAGGGATACAGTAATAGACAGCAAGATACAGTATCTAATGTCGCGGTATGTTAGCACAAGATAAAACACTTGAGTGAGCAGAGGAGCACTGTTACCAGATGTACAGTGTACTCATCTGCTCATGAGTACAGTACAGTAAAACTCCCAATAAGGCATCAGCTGGAACCCAGAAGTACTCTGGTCAGCTGCGCTCTCAGCGGGGCTGCTGAGAGCTGCATGTGCGCTTGTGGCTCCAGCCTGCACTTGTTAGCAGCCGGGACCGGGACATAAGGTTGCGGGAGAAAGGGGACTGAGTTACATCAGGGAGGGGAGGTATTTGGCTCTGGGGAAGGGAAGGGGAGGAGAGGGGACGGGGGCTTAGGTTGGGAGTACAGTATGCTCCTGTGACGGGTCTACCGGGATCTGCGCTGCGTCCGACAAGGGTGGGTCACCGGGGAACAGTGCGGCGAGAGGCAAACCCTCCACCGCTTTGCAGGGAGGTGGGGAAAGCCCCGCACGGCCGCCGGCAACAGGCCGGTTGGGGAAACCCAGCTGCTGGCCTGCAAGCAGGGGCAGAGGAGAGGGAGCGAGGCGTCCGGTGGGGGTGAGGAGGAAGTCTCCAGGGAATGGCGTGGCAAGTGGCGAACCCTCCGCCACTGCAGGGAGGCAGGGCAAGCCCTGCACAGCCGCCAGTGACAGGCCAGCTGGGGAAACCGTGTTATTTTGGGGATGGTTGTGTTATTCAAAAAATGTCCCCTCCCCCCCCCCAAAAAAAATCGTGCTATCGCAAAAACATGTTAAGCGGGCACATGTTGAATGAGTAAAAAGCATTCAAGGCTGTTGGAATGGCACATCTCCGACTTATTGCCCACCCCTGGGCTAGATCATACCATTCTGCAAGTGGAGGGTGTGGGGATTCTGTTTTTTTAGATCTAACCTAATTTCATAATTGGAAATAAGGTCTCCATGTCTAAGACACCATCCAAACATGCGAGTTGCACCAGTTCAACTAAAATCAATTTTAAACAATCCTAATGTAATTAAACTCATGCAAATACCTTGTGTAGATGCACACCACATCATTTTGACCAATATTGACATAGCTTGTGTCTACATTTCCTGATGCAAAGTAAATCAATATAAATAAGGTTTAAACCAAACACAATGTCACTAGAGTATTTTGCACCATTTAATTATATCACTTTAAAATTGCCTGTTCAGTTAAACTGGCACTATGGATGCAGAGACCAGGCTAGAGAAACACTGCTTGGGCAGTCTTCAGGGATGCCACCCTCTCTGGATTTCTGTGGATAAAGAGAGAATTGATGGTTTCAACACTTTCATTTGCCACTTCTCCCAAGCATTCTGTTCATATATTTCATGCACCCCTTTTAAAGGCTTCATCAAAGGCAATCACATTTGTCTGACCATATTTTTACCTGCCAGATGACCAAGTTTGCATAGCCTTGCATTGAACTACTCAGTCTGGGGTATAATGTGGTAACAACCCCAAAGGAGGCAGGGAACATGGACTCATTGGTACCTGATTAACTGCAGGTAATTACAGAAGCTGCTAAAAGAACTAGCTAATGGTAACCATTTAAAGCCTTCCAAACCATTCTCTCCCAATACCTTTTAAAATAGTGATGCTCTGAATGTCTTATTTGCCAGAAACAGAGTAAATAAGAATGAGGGATCATGGGGACCCTCTGTAGGGAATGGAGGAACTCACAGATCCCCTAGTGTATTTGACAACACTCTGTATATATAGTCACTTTCCCTGTTTCCTCTTACATCTGTATTCAGTGAGTTTTCCCTGGCAGGAGGAAACCAGCCTTTTTTTTTTTTTTTTTTTAAAGTGGTAGTAGAACCACAAGCATTGGTGGGTGAATGAGACCGATGGAAGAGCTTGAGCTATTTTTAACATGTTGAAATTTGCTTACAAAATATTTTTGGAAGCTTCATACCTTCCCCACAAAAATGAAATGTTCTTTCCCCCTGCATATATTACTTCATCAGTGTTTGAAAAATCAGTAGCTATACTTGTACAGTGATTGCTATAAAAATAAGTAGTATTAGCAAACCTAACAAATAGAAAGATTTGATGACAAATGGAAAAATGAATGGCTGTATATATAAAAATCTGAGGACAGGTGTATATATTCCACATGCAGGCAGTGTTATAAAGGAATATATAATAGTTGAGTAACCGATAAGAATTAATGAGGTTACTAGACTATTCAATTAACTGATATTTTAGCATCCCTATAACTCAGTGTATGTTTTAGGTACAGATCAGGGTTATGCCAGTGTAGCCTGGTAGGTATGTGAGTACACCTGCTCCCACCTGCTCTGTTTAATGGTTAAATGAAGTTTAACCGGCTAACTGATTAAATGGGATTTTACATCCCTAATAGCTAGTAGTCTCCATAGTGTAGTAGACATACCTTTAATGGTAGGAACTGCAGAGAAGGCTCTTGCCCTTATCTTGACAATTATGGAAAAAGGAAGATTATTTTTCTCGTGAGATTTCTAGTATTTTTCTTAAAGCCTCATGTCCTGCTTACATGAGGCTTTCATTTTAAAATAAAAGATGTTTCTAGCTATGGTGGTTGTGGTCAAACGTTTGATCATGTGACCGAAGAGAACCCTAAAGCCTCAAACACCTGATCACAAATAAAAGAAGCCAAAATGTATTTAAAAAAAAAAAAGCTCATGATATTTTGGGGGCTGTCTTTCATGGCTTTTGAATGTTGGGATTGGCAATACTGGGGGAGGTTTTAGATAAATGTGGGATTAATAAGCCTGGAGCAAGATCATTATTATATTTTTTAAAATAAAGATAAAATAAGGAAGACACTTTTGAACTGGTACCCAAGATTCCTGGGATTATTTGCAGATGGTGATGTGGTCCTGCTTCTTGTTGCATGCTTGATTATTTTGTTAGTTATGTATATTGTAATGGCCCAGTGTAGACACTTATTCTGGAATAGCTACTTTTGGAATACTTCCAAGTGTAGACAAGCTGTGGGGGAAGGGGAGGAGAATGCAGCTGATGACAGCACAAAGGAGGGTTTAGGCAGGAGGGGAAGAGGTCCTAGGGCCTACTCAATGAGGTTGCCTTTTCTACCACAGCTGCAATCTCCCTCCTTCCTACAGTGAGCAGTTGATGCAGCATAACAGGATGTAAAAGGCGTGGATTTAACTGTCACAACAGATTAACGGGCCGTGTTACAGCATTCTCTAAAGAGCTGGGCAGCTCATAAACATGCATCATCTTGCATCTTCCCAGTTCCTGATTTTTTTTTTTTCATTCTTCAGAGTTCGCGCCTTCTAAAAAGCGGTTAACCTATTGCTCGGTCTAGCTTGGCTGCCCTCCTGGGCATGCCAGACCCCTTCAAGTAGAGCGTCTACCACCACTCGCGCCTTAAGCCTGGCCATGCGCTAGCGAGGGCTCCACCGTGCCCCTATGCCCCCGCGAGCTTTGCCAGCGCCGCTCCCGCGCATGCTTGGGCTAGCCCCGGCTGTGTTTTTACAAGCCGCGGCGAGGTGTCCCTGCTTTAGTGTGCGAGTGAGCGTGACTGATGGGTCGGGGAGCGCCCGCGAGCCTGCCCGCGTGCAGCAGCTACGCCTCGCTGTCTGGTGCATGTCTCGGCAGAGCCGGGACCGCTCGCGTGGCACAGGCAGCCTTTGTCTCCGGGGAGCAATTACTGCAGCCCGCTCTGGCGGCCAGCGCCTCGGGGCCGTGACAGCCCCGGCCAAGGCGCTTTGCAGGGTGCAGACGTCCGCTGTTTCCTACCCTCCGGCTCCGGCTGCGCTCCAGACGCGGCGGCTGCAAACTTTAGGGACGGCGCGAGGCGGCGGGGTTCCGTGGCGGGGGTGGGCGCGAGCCCGCGCAGCGCCGGGCGGAGGTAGCGCGGGCAGCGGGAGGACCATGGCACCGCGGGCTTCCTCTCGCTCTCTTGTCGCGCAGGGAGCGCCAGGCTGGCGGAGATGAGGGCGTGACTCGCCGCCGCTGGCCTGCCGGCAGCCCGAGCCGGGGCCGGTTGCAGCAGGCGGCAGGAGCAGCGCAGCCGGATCAGGTGAGGGGGGAGAGAGGGAGGAGCGGTAGATGCAGCCGCTGCCAGCCCCCCGCTCTTTGCGGCCATTCCCGTATTGCTCGGCAGCGGGAGGTCCGTGCCCTTGGCCGCTGCCTTGGGCAGCTGGCGCTGGCAGCGCGCAAGGGGCTGCGCTGGGGGCGGGCGGGCACCTTGTTTTCCTGGCGCAGGACCTCGCACTGAGCATGCTTCTGCCTGCGGCCCGCTCGCTCCAGCCTCTGATCGCCGCCGCAGCTCCCAGCCCTTTGTTCCCGCAGCCTCCCGGAGTAGCTTCTCGCCAGCGGGCCGGCGGCTTCAGGACAATAGGGGGGCGAAGGGGGAGGGGGGCGCTGCGGAGGGAAGAGACACTTACGTGTGACTTTGTTCAGTTTGCAGATGACTGAGCACGGCGCGAGCCCCGGGCTGTCATGTGTTGTTCAGGCAGCCATCTGAGCTAGGGCTGAGCTAGCCGGCCTCGGCTGCCTGTGTGGAAGCAGTAAGTTACCTTTAGTCTTACCCAGGCAGAGCCCAGTGCTTCGGGAGGGGGGCGCTGCGGAGGGAAGAGACACTTACGTGTGACTTTGTTCAGTTTGCAGATGACTGAGCACGGCGCGAGCCCCGGGCTGTCATGTGTTGTTCAGGCAGCCATCTGAGCTAGGGCTGAGCTAGCCGGCCTCGGCTGCCTGTGTGGAAGCAGTAAGTTACCTTTAGTCTTACCCAGGCAGAGCCCAGTGCTTCTGCCTTTCTCAGCTGTCAGCCGCAACGAACTGGGAGTTAGCCGCGGATCTAGACTTCTCTGGGTTAAGCCGCTGGGTGATTGATGCTCTTTGACCATGCCCTGTTGGGTGCAGTTCTTGTGATGGGCAAGCGACACAGGCCTGTAGGCTCTGCTGTCATCTCCCTTCCACCTGCAGGCTCCCAAGCAGACTTCCCATTCCTTCAGCTGCATGAGGTGGGACCCTGCTTCCCCATCTACATCTTGCCAAAGGCAAAAGTGAGCAGCTTCTCTCTAGAAATAAATTGGAAATAACGATATTTGGCGAGCAGGTTGTGCTGTCCTTTGAAAATCCAGCGTTAGAATAATGGTGATAATGAGTGTGAATAATAAGGGGAGGGAGGGTGTTGTAAGAGAGTTATTCTGAGTGGTGGGAATAAATACATCAGTAGAATGGTGATTACTCTATATGCTCTAAGCAGCATTTGTTATAAACAGGATTGTTATTGCATGGAGTAGGCAATAAAAGGGCATGTAAAATGTGTGGGATTATTCTCTGTACTTTATGGAAAGCCCTATTTAGCATTTTGTTATACAGCATGTATATGGCAGCTTGCCATGTGTTTGGAGGATATTGCAGAAAATATGCTTTATTTATAGTGAAATACATTTAATAAACAGAAGTAAGCACAATGGATGTCAAATAAGCATGCCTATATATTCTTTTCGCTGACTCATTACTTTTCAGAAGTACTGCTTGCTCTGTCTCCTAAATGACACGGAAATGTAACTAATGCAAGGCATGACCAGTGTAAGCGTTAGGAAATGGCTTTGATGGGCACAGGTTTGGTGTACCCTACCAATTTGCATTGGTATACCTACATCAGAGGGTGTGGAAAACCCAGACTTCTGAGCGATGTAGTTATAGCAACCTAACTTCTCGTATAGACGGTGTTATGATGGTGAAAGAGCCTCTCCCATCAATATAGTTACTGCCTTTTAGGGCAATAGTGTACCCTATGCTATTGACAGCATAGGTATTGTCTTCAGTAAGCACTACAGCAGTGCTATGAGAGTAGACAAGCCCATAGGTACCTTTTAAATCTTTTTTCATTCCTTTGTTTGATAGCAGGTATAGCTGTTTCACCAAATTTACTCCTTGGTGTCCAAGCGCTAGATATTCTGTGATAAGCATTTCAGCCATATAAAGCGTTGTGCAATGATTGGAATACTCGTGGGGCATGAAAATGAGAAGAGAATGTAACGTCCATGAAAATGCAATTTGTTGCTGATGTAATCATGATTTACATCTCTTTTAGCTTGGATACAGTTGGATTGCTGAGTGCAGGAGAAGACAGGCTCTTGGCGTAGGTAAAGCAGAGTGAATTGGCAAATAAAAGGAGATAGGTACTCTGTATTGAAGAGTATATAGGGACTGTATATTAAAGATTACATAGCAGGCTTGTGGTAGTGACATAAGGGCAATTCAGTATTATTGCAAGATCTCAAATGTTTGAGTATAGGAGGAACCTAGAGTATTTGACAGCATTATTAAAATTGAGGTATGCTCACCCTTCCATGCCCCAACTTAATTCTGCCATAAAGTTGTTTCTAGGCAATAGGCACTGTTTGCAGCATCTTCAACTCCCAGATTTGCATGATTTTATGATATAGAACCTTCAGTTATTCTTGATTTTTAGGGGGAGCTGTATGATTTTTAGGGGGAGCTCCCAAAAATGAAGTCCATAACATCTAATTTTTTAAGCAATGCTCAGTACTCCCGAAAATGAAGTCCATAACATCTAATTTTTTAAGCAACTTGGCTACATTGTCTGCTTGATATGCCCACAGCAGACACAGCTATGATTCCTTTGGTGTACTATATGTTCTGGTGGTGACCTGATGACATGGCCATAACTGCAGAAAGTCCTTTTTGCTGCATCATTGGTGTGTGTTACATCAGTAGGGCCCTGGCCCCCAACTTACAGCATCCCCATGTTCTGTAGCTAGACTTAAACATCAGGGAACACAACTTACATTGGCCACCTCCTTTCATGTCTAATTGACACCTGGATTATGGTAATGCAGTTCACTAGCTGTTTGGATGGCAAAATCTGAATCAAGGCTCTGTTGTCAAATTGTAAGTACAAATTATAAGTTTCAGTACACTTTCATTTGAGAGCTGTTTAAATATTGAAGAGTGGTTTTCTATTTTGTCAGAATTATTTTATTCTGTATGTAATGGGAAATGTACAGCACAAACTTCAGCGATATAATGTTACTGGAGAGTTAAGGAATGTGAAATATAAGAGCTAGAGTGGTGCTTGGCAGTTACAGATCTTTTAGTTTTAATTAAAACGTTTTAGGACAAGAAAAAATGTGTTGTGACTATAAACTAAGAATGTGTGCTTACAAACAAAAGTTTCACATTGCCAGGAAACTTTGTTGGGTTTATCTATGTAGCTGTGTAAACATGATAATCTTGCAGCATAATCCAATTTCTGAAGAAAAAAATTACAAAATAGCTGGATGGTCTCAATTATTTTTGACAGTTGCTATCCCTTTAATTTAAAAAAATCAGATATAATAGTGGCAAGGCTACAGATGCTTTGGCTTAATAGGAACTAGTATGCTTAGGTCCCCATTCTGCAAAGGCTAAGATATGCACTTAATTTGATGCCCATGAAAAGTCCCAAGTGTGTCAATGGGGGGGCTACTAATATATATATATATATGTGAAATCTGAGCATAAGTCTTTGCAGGATCACAGCCTTAGTGTACATCTAAGCATAAAAATTTGCAAGAAAATTATCAAGGCACAATGTTTATGGTTTATATACTGTGGGGGGCCCGTTCTCAGTCACATTTTTTGGTCAGACATCCCACAGCATTTTATCTGTTCACTGGATTTGAATTTATTTAATGTTAATTTGGTTCACATGTATGTATGTATGTATATATGTATTTACAGAGATGGTTCATTTAAATGGTCTGTTGCAAAACTTAAGAGCAGTCTACACTAGAGAGATGCCTGATGAATGTGTTCTGTGCTGATGGGAGGGAGCTCTCCCATTGGCATCATAAAACCACCTCTAGGAGAGGTGGTAGTTATGTTGGCAGGAGAAACTTGCTCACATATAATAAGCACATACACAACTCTTAAACATTATGGGGCTAGTTGAAGCATGAGTGAGACAAATTTAACCAACCTAAGTGGTAGTGTCTACAAGCCTGTAGCCTTTGCATTTTCAATTAAATTTGCAATTGAGGCCATGTCTACTTATGTCAGCAAAACTTATGTTGCTCTGGGGTGTGAATAAGTCATCTCCCTCTAACCTGACGTAAGTTTTGCCTGCATAAATGGTGCTGTGCACAGTGTTGTGTTGGCAAGAGAGCTGTTGGCATAGAGAAGTTACACGAGTGCTCTTACAGTGCCACAGTTGCATGGCATGGGTACGGTACCACTGTGCTGCTGTAAGCTTGTTAGTGTAGATATGGTCTCAGTGTCACAGAAGCCCAGTATGGTTAAGGAAAGGCAAGCTCATTTCTGGTACGCACAAAGAAGGCTTGATAGTGGAAGGAAATGGAGAATGCTCTGTAACTGGGGGGAACACAAACTAACATTCTTTTCATTCAGTGACTGGATTCCTGCTCTACAGGGAAGAGGTAGTGGCTCATTTACTTGGAAACATCTGTCCAAGTGACATGGTGGTGTGTCTTAGTCACAGAGTTTGAAGGCAGCGAGAAGGTGTAAGTAAAATAACTGCATAATAGGATGAGGGGATTATTGAATCATTACTAGAACCTATATGTCTATATGCAAGATCTCACGTACTCCACATGCAAGCTGACCTAAATCCTGCAAGTAGGCCCTTTAGCTACTGCATCGGTTTGATGTTGCAGACTGGAAATTCTGCAGCAGAACTTGGATACAAATTGGAGATATTTATTTAAATAAAAATGAATAATGCAGCTAGCTAGTTTGTTATACCTTGAGCGAGTTTCTTTGCTTGCTTGCTTTTTTTAAATATGAAAGTCAATGTTATTCTGCCTTTATACAATCTGTATTAAAACTGGCAAGCCAGTTCTGTTGTTGTAAAGCTGTCATGGGAAAAGTGGCAGATTTTTGCTGCTGGGTAGGATACATTTTGGTCATCTTGCACCAGATAAAGCATGAGAGGCTGTTTCAATCTGAGAGAACTACATAGCACATTTTGTTTGCTAAAATGATCAGCAGTGAAAATAAACACTGATATTTAAATAATCACTGTAGGGTTTCAGGATTAACAACCCATTGAGGTACATGGAGCAGTTACATGTATGAGCGAGTGTTTTTCAAACAATCTGCAGATGTGGGAAGACTCCTCTTGTATGGTCTGTTCTGGAAACTTATGTCGACATAGGATGTGATGTGATGTGATGTGATCCTTCAGGGATGTGAAAAGTCTGCATTCTTGAGAAATGTAGCTAAGCAGATCTAACTCCCAGTGGAAACAGCGCTAGGTAGACAGAAGAATTCTTCCGTCAATCTAGCTGGTGCATCTCAGGGAAGAGGATTACTTATGCTGGCAGGAGAAAGCTCCTGTTGGCGTAGATGGTGTCTACACTGAAGGAGCACAACTCAGTGTTGCAGTTGCACTACTGGAGCATTTTAAATGTAGATGTAACCTAAGGGTGTCCATAGCCGCAGTGATGAGTGTGATTATAAGAATCCAAACAGAAACCAAAAAACAGTGTCAAGTTACATTGTGTGTGTGTGTGTGTGTGTGTGTGTGTGTGTGTGTGTGTGGAGAGAGATTCAGTATTGTTATATCAGTTAACTGTGTGACTCTTGTATAACTCTAGTGTTGATGCAGTTATACCACTGTACCATATTTCCCTTCCTGTATCAAAATAAAGTATATTACAATACTGATACAAGTGCATCCACAAATGGGAATTATACTGATTGTAACTATATTGTATATTTGCAGCAATGGAACTTTTTATGTAGAGGAGGCTTTGGAAGGTTTTCTTTGCAACTATATAATTATTAGAAATTTATATTTTAAAACTTATAAAAATGGGCTGCTTCTGTGACTGCAGAATAGTGGCTTTGGAAGTTATCTTCAAACTTAAAAAAATCAGTGACCAAATTTCATGTGCTGAAATCTCAGTGGTGGTGGGCTGAGGAAGGTAATAAGAACAAAATGGCCTGTGGATAAAAAGCAATTCTGTCTGTCTTCTGTCACCCTGCACAATGTAAGCTTTCTGCACCTTGTGTGTCTAGGATTGCACAATACAGAATATTGGTATTCCCATGCGAGAGCGAAATAAATCTGATGGTTTGCTTTGTAAATGCATCAATAGCAAAGTCAATGTATATTTGGTGTCCTGAGTCAGCCTTCTGTAATTTGCTTATGTAACACCAATTTTAGTCTGTATTGATGGGCTATTTTATTTCATGTGTCTAAGCCATGTGAAACTTTGTCTGCAAGGAATAGTGAAAATGGAAGGAGATTGTAGTCTGCTAAAACAACAGCAACAGTCATTTGTGCTGTTAACACCAGTTTCCAGAAGAAGGAAAAGTGGTGGAAGTACCGGTACCAAAGATGTATTTAATAGGGCTGTCAAACAATTAAAAATTAATTGTGATTAATCACAGGATTTAAAAAATAATTCACAATTATTTGCAGATCACGCTGTTAAAGAATGATTATAAATATTTTTTGATGTTTTCTGCACTTTCATATATATTGACTTCAGTTACCACGTAGAATACAAATTATATAGTGTTCATTTTATATTTTTTCATTATGGATATTAATGAAAGATAAACAAAAGAAACAGCGGTTTTCAGTTCACTTAATACAAATGCTGTAATGCAGTATATTTATTGTGAAAGTGTAATTTATAAATGTAGAATTATTATTTTTCTATCACTGCACTCAAAAACAAAACGTAAAGCCTGCAAGTCCGGCTCAATCCTTCTTGATTATCAAATCAGGAAAACAAACAAGTTTGTTTACATTTATAGGCGATAATTATCAGAGGGGTAGCCGTGTTAGTCTGAATCTGCAAAAGTGACGAGGAGTCCTGTGGCACCTTATAGACTAACTGAAGTGTAGGAGCATAAGCTTTCGTGGGCAAAGACCCACTTCGTCAGATGCATGTTTAAGGAGACCATGTTATACCTCTCTGTGGCAAGTGCACCCCACACATCTCATATAGCCCTCAGAGACATTTTGTAGGAAACTACTCCTCTAGAAGATAATGTTTCTTATTAACAATGCTAAATGGGGACTGCATCTTATCAGAGCCCACAGCCATCCATTAGCGCTCTGACCACTCCTGGCTCACCAGGGGCTGTATATCAGGTTTTGGTTTGGTGTGAGTGTGTATATATATTGGGGAGAAAATGTGTGTCCATGTTGGGGGGGTGCAATCTAAGCAGGGCACTCGGAAGCCTGAATACTTTTTCATTCAGTAGCAGTTGTTGGCAGCACTTCCTTCTGAACCAGAAGCAGCAGCAGACAGGCTCTGCCTGTTCCCCAGCCCCAGCTCAGTGGTGACCCTGACATCAGCACCCCCCCCCCCCGTATATATATTGGGGAGAAAATGTGTGTCCATGTTGGGGGGGTGCAATCTAAGCAGGGCACTCGGAAGCCTGAATACTTTTTCATTCAGTAGCAGTTGTTGGCAGCACTTCCTTCTGAACCAGAAGCAGCAGCAGACAGGCTCTGCCTGTTCCCCAGCCCCAGCTCAGTGGTGACCCTGACATCAGCACCCCCCCCCCCCCC